CCCCCCCCCCGCTTTTGTCTCTCCCTCCCTCCCTCCCTCTCCCCATTCCTTCTCCAACCATCCATCTGACCATTTCCCATTCCTCCCTCAGTCCCACCCTCCCCACACCCATCCATCATCCATCCATCCCTCCATCCATCTTCACACCTCACACCCTTCCTCTTCCTCTGCTGGTTCTTCCATCCCTCCATCCCTCATCCCTCCCTCCATCCCTCATCCCTCCCTCCATCCCTCCACCCTCACACCTCTCCCTCTGCTCATCCTTCCCTGCTGGTTTTGTCTGTCCCTCCCTCCCTCCCTCTCTTCATTCCTTCTCTAACCATCCATCCCACATCCCCCATTCCCCTCACTTCCCTCCCCACATTTTTCCCCCTTGTCCCTCAGCCACACTCAGCTTTTCCCCCACCTTGTCACCCACCCACCCACCCTCCCCCCAGTGCCCAGAGCAGGGGGGCTGGAGGAGCCCTTCTCCCATCCCCCCCAAAACAAGGAGAGGGGACACAAGCCCCCAGCTTCCCTCACCCCCTCGGGGCACCTCTGCACCCACATTTGCCCCCCACCACTCACCAGGAAGGGGTCGGGTGTGTCTGGGCACCCCAACACCCGCTCACCACGCCGGGGCTGAGCCCCCCACGCACCCGGGGGGTGCCTGGGGTGAGAGATCAAGGGGTGCCCAAGGCCAGTGCCCAAGGGGTGCCCGGGATGAGAGCCCAGGGGGTGCCCAGGACCCCCCGACCCATACCTGACGTCGGGGCTGTACAGTGCCAGCCTCAGCAGGTACAGCACCGCGCTGCCCAGGCCCACACTGATGAAGCCAATGAGGGGAATGAGCTGCAGAGAGAAAGAGAGAGAGAGAGAGAGAAATGAAAAATACCCCAATAAAATGAATATTTATCAGGCGGACTGGAGAGTGAAAGGCAGAGCTGACACGCCGGGAGATTTACAGGGGGAATATGGCAGAGCAATCCTGTAGCCGGGCTGTGGTACACAGTGTAGCTGTCAGCTTGAGTGACTGAATTAAAAGAGGGAGAGAAAAATCGGCTCGTGGTGGAGAGGAATTGGATTTGGAATGAGAAATCACTTCCCCTCTGCCTGTGGCTGCCCCGTTCCCGTGGTGCTGAGGACCTGGGGACCCCATTCCCAGCGTTTCCAGCGGCCCTGCTCAGGGCTCAGCCTTGGTCACGGTTCCTCACCGAGGGACTCGGTCCTGGGCACCCCATTCCTGGCACTCCCAGCACCCCCAGTGCCCCCGTTCGGGGTCAAGCCTCAGCTGATGGTTCTTCCCTGAGGTATTCGGTCCTGGGCACCCCATTCCCGGCATTCCCAGGGTTCCCAGTTCTCCGGCTCAGGGCTGAGCAGCAGCCCTTGGTTCCTCCTGCAGGGACTCGGTCCCGGGCAGGGTTTGTCCCTGAGCCACACCGTGACCCGGGCAGTGTCCCTGTCCCCCCACAGCCCCCCGAGCCCTGCCCCCCCCCCTGCACCATCTCCTGGCGCAGCTCAGGACAAGGAGTGTTCAGTTCCTTTGCTGGAAAGGACTGGGACACACCGGGGCCGAGCAGTTGGGGGTCCAGAGCCGGTCTGGGGGGGGCACTCAGTGACCCCAGCCCCACCATAGATGTCCCTGCGAGCACGAGGTGCCCTCGCCCCCCTCCGTGCCCACAGCGGCTCCCGTCACACCTCGGCCGAGCGAGCGGTTCCCTCTCCCCGTCTCCGCTGCCAATCCCCCCGTGCCCGGAGCGGCGCGGCCTCAATCGGAGCCGAACCGAGGCGGTTTTGACCTCCCCCAAATTGCCGCGGCCCCCGCGCCGGGGAAGCCGCGGGCTCGTAATGAGCCTGGCGCCAGCCGAGCCCCTGGGAGCCGGAGCCTCGCCGTGCCCATTAACGGCGGCGGGGCCGCCTCGCCAACCCCCGGCCCCGTTTGCGGCTCCGCTCGGCGGCTGCAGCCACAGACGGGGGGCTGGGGACCCCCACCCCACTCGGGTGGCACGTGGAAACGCGCAGAAAAGGGTCACTCCGCCCCCTCTGCCCCCCACCACCAGCCCACAGCAGCGTCCCCCTGCCCAGCCCTCGCTCCCCACCGGCCCCCCCCGTCCTCTCCCAGTGCCCCCAGTATGGCCCAGCTCCTGCTCGGCAGCGCCCTGCTCAAGCCGAGCTGCGATGATGGAGCGCCCGGCAGATGCCAGCGCCCATCCAGGAGGGTCGGGGCCATCGGTGGATGATGGTCCTTGGCACCGGGTGCCAGCAGGAGCTGGCAGCAGCCTCTGCCCGAGCGCTGGCGAATCCAGAAGCCGCCGCAGCGCCGGGAGTTGCTGTGGCTGCGGGAGGAGGTTCGGGGCGGCGGGTCCGTCTCACCATCTGCTGCCGACACCGCCTGGGTGATTAATGCCCGGGAAGGATTCGGGGGCTGCCAAAGCCGCAGGTGCCAGCGGTGGAGCCCCCATTTCCCGCGAGGCGGGCAGGCGGTGGGGAGCAGTGCCAGGCTCTGCCCTGTGCCCGGTTGGTGCCCACCCAGCCGTGCCAGAGGGCTCTGGTTCTGCGTGGCTGGGACACCCATCACTGCCAGGCACCTGGAAACCCACTGCCCAGCAGTGTCACAGCCGAGCACTGGGATGGGTGGGTGACACCCCACAGGGAGGGTGACACCGCAGAAATTGCCCCAGCAACAAACCTGCCGTGTACCAGCACCCAGGACCCCTCCCAGGCCTTCACACCTCCAGTCTGGGGATCTCTCTGTGCCCCCCAAGCCACTCCCAGCTCCTCAGCTGGAGAAACCGTGGCAGGAACAGAAAAAACATCCCAAACCCTTCCGTTGGGCAGGAGGCCCGGCCTGTGCTGCCCATTTGGGGATGCTGGAAGCACCCCGGGGATCCTCTCTGCCCGTGCCCACGGTGGGGCCCCCCCCCCCCCTTGGCAGTGCTGGATGGAAGGAACGGGGTGGGAAGCACTGGGTGGTCTCACCTTTCCTTGGAGAAGGAGGAATGGGGACCCCCGGGACCCCCCAGTTGACCCGGAGGGTGCTGAGTGGGAGGATGGTGGGAAGGGGAGGTTGGTGAGGGGGGATGGAACAGGACTGGGGGGCTGAGGAGGCTCCTGGGGAGGGTGAGGAAGAGGAGTTGGCAGAGGGCACAGAGGGTAGAGGAAGGCACAAGGAATGGGGGGTGGGATGAGGGGAGAAGGATGTGGAGAAGCCCAGAGGCTCCTGGCATGTGGCGAGAGATG